TCTTTCCCTTTCCCTCTCCTGAAGTGACAGTCTGTAGCCTCCCAGAAGGGAAGTCCAGAGCTGGGCACAGGGGCTAAAGCTGAATGTGGCATTAGTGGCTTTCTCATTTCCTCTTCCGTTCTCTTTGCCAGGGCTGCAGACCTGAGTGAGGCAGAGCCCACACTCACGCACATGAGCATTGCCTGCCTACACAAGCACAAGCTGGTAAGGCCCTGGCTCCTCGGCGTTCTACTGAGGGGTGGAGAACTTTCCAGGGCCTGCCACTGGGAACGCTCCAGCGGTTGGCTACTCAGTGATGCCAGCCTGGTGTCCGCAAGGGAGCAGCATCGGAGCTTCCCCGCTCCTTGTCGCTCCTCTGTGGCTGCCTTTCTTCCAGTACCTTAGTTATAAGCTCCCATGGGGGGTGGGGGGACTTGCTCATTAATGAGCCCTCCGTAGAACTGCGCTGAGCAGTGGGAGCCTTTTAACCTCAAGTTCTGAGCACATGCTGATTTGTGTCTTGGCTCATCTGGGTCCTCCCCTCAGCGGCTGTGCTCTGCAGAGCTCTGGGCTGTGTTGGGAGCATGTCTGCAGTCCCCCCTGCATGTTGTCAGCTCTGTCCCTCGCCCACAGGTGCAGCACGTGGTGTCTCAGAACTGTGATGGGCTGCACTTGCGGAGCGGGCTGCCCCGAGCAGCAATATCGGAGCTGCATGGAAACATGTACATAGAGGTGAGCAGCCAGAGCAGGGGTGGTCTGTGGCTGCAGGGCCTGGGCGCTAACAGCAGTTGCCGTGAGGCTCTTGGTCAGGACACCACATATCAATCGCACTCGAGCCTTAGCAAACCCCAGGTTAAATCAATGCAACATGCTCCCAGCTGAGCCCTTCTCTTGACCCAGAGGTCCTGTCCTGTAGGAGCCAGCCTGCTTTCTATAGCTCCCTCTGCACTGGGTGCTCATCAGGCAGGTGCCTGCTCCCTTTCCCTGCTGGTTCCGAGTCCTGCTAGGCCCAGCCCCCTGCTCTTTCAGGCACTAGCAGGCTCCCGGGGGCAGGTCGTCCTGTTCCATAACTGCGTCTCTTCACTTCCTTCCTGTGCTAGGTCTGCACGTCCTGCACACCCAACAGAGAGTATGTGCGTGTGTTTGATGTCACGGAGCGCACTGCTCTGCACAGGCACGACACAGGCAGGACGTGCCACAAGTGTGGGACGTTGCTGAGAGACACCATCGTCCACTTTGGGGAGAAGGGCACCCTGAGGCAGCCCCTGAACTGGGAAGCAGCAACAGAGGCTGCGACCAAAGCGGACGTGATTCTCTGTCTGGGTTCCAGCTTAAAGGTAACACTAGAGACTTGGTGAAGACTTAGCAGCTTTCTCCCATGGTGATCTGCCCTGGTGCTGAGCAGTCTCCTCCCACGCAGACAGCTCTAACCCCTGATGTCAGGACTCGCCCACCCCTGGGATAAACCCTGGTCCCAGAGAGACCTCCCTCCCTCTTCCTCTTCCGGTAACGTTCCTCCTCTCCTTGCTCGTCTGGTCCAGCCTGTGCAGCTGGATGCCCCTGGCCATGCTGACCGCCTCTCTCTTGTGGCAGGTTTTGAAAAAGTACCCACGTCTCTGGTGCATGAGCAAGCCCCCCAGCCGCCGTCCAAAGCTGTACATCGTGAACCTCCAGGTGAGAGCCGTGCTCCAGAGGGGCAGCTCCGCTCCATCGCACCCTGCGGGAGAGCCTGCAGTCACCCTCACAGGGAGGAGTCTGGGAGCAAGACCGCCTGAATCTGAGCAGGACAGACTGCAGGGAGGGCTCCCCCGCGGCTGCCGGGTCCAGACAGACGGATGTGAGCGAGCCCGGTGCGGCCCCCGTCTGGGTTCTCACGTGTCCCTCCTTGGTTCCCTGCAGTGGACTCCAAAGGATGAGCTGGCTGCCTTGAAACTGCATGGGAAATGTGACGACGTGATGAGGCTGCTGATGGAGGAGCTTGGTCTGGAAATCCCCTGCTACGACAGGTTGGTGCAGGGCCTGGTGGGCGTGCCCCCTCATGCTGGTGTGTCGCCCTGGCGGTGCCGGGTAACCAGCCCGTTCCTGCTTGCAAACGGCAGATCCCTGCTGCCTCCTGCCCCGGGCCGGGCCGGGAGCGCGAGCGGCAGCAGGGAAG